TTCTAGCCAGTCAATTCTAAGCCTGTTCTGTTGTATGAGATTATTCCATCCCATATGCAGGACTTGGGTTTGCCTTCATTGGAGCTCATAATGTTCCCCTCAGGCCATTTTTTCCAATCTGTTAAGGTCCCTCTGAATAGCAGCCCAGCTCTGCGGTGTATTGACCACTCACCCAATTTGGTATCATCCACAAATTTGCAGAAAGTGCCATCCATCCCATGTCTGGGTTGTTAGTAGAGACGTTGGGCAGTATTGGCCCTAATATCACTAGCTGAGGCTGAGGGATAGCACTAGTGACAGACTGCCAGTTGGACTTTGTATTGCTGATTCAGTCCTTTGAGTCCAGGTGTCCAGCCAATTTTCCACTCCCTGTTATTATCCACTTATCCAGCCTATCTCTCACCATGGTGGCCATACTGTGTATACAGACCATGTCAAAGCACATGCTAAACTTAAGGTGAAAAACATCCACAGCTCTCCCCTTATCCACAGTGTAAGTCATGTCATTGTAGAAGGCAATCAGGTTAATCAGGCGTGATTTGTCCTCAGTAAGTCGATGCTGGCCATTCCCAGTCATCTTGTCTTTCACGTACTTGCAAATGGCTTCCAGGATGATTTGCTCCATAAACTTACGGGGGTCTGATGTGAGGCTGGCTGGCCAGTAGTTCCCCAGATCCCCCCTCTTGCTTTTCTTGATGTTTACCTTGTCCAGTCATCAGGAACTCTACCCTGTCCTCATGACTTATCAAAGATTATAGGGTGACTTCACTAAGACATTCACTGTATGATCTTCAGATGTATCCATTCTAGTCGCATAGACCTATATAAGTTTGTTCTGCTTTGCACTGTATCTCAGTTCCTAAAACATTGTTTTGGATCTTAGTTCAAATTGTCCCAGGCTGCCAAAGTGATTAATAAAGATCCCAAGTTTTGCCTGATTTTGAGCAATACCCTTAAAATCACATCATGTTCTTTTGATCATAGAGATAAAATGAAGTCACAAAAATTGGAGGCAGATTTTGGAGACACCTGTCTTCGAGGCAGTTTTTCAATGGCTTTATGAAATAATTGGCCACTACCAGATTTGAATAGAAGCTTACATTTTGAATGGTTATGTTTACCTGGTTCATAAAATAAGCTGAAATTTAGGCTTCCAGAAATGTTCCCAAACCATGACACATGTTCAGAGTTTCAGGCATTTAACAGTATTCAAAGCCAAATAAATCCTGTCTGGTGCCAGTCTTCTTTTTAAGAAAGTGACCAGGTTCTATTGCCACCTGGTAGAGATTCTGCTTTAGTTCAAAAACTTCAGAACTAGAACCTGGAGAACTGATCTTTCACTGCTAAACCCTTGCAGACACTGAAATGACATATTAAAGGACTGAATACCCCTGTAACTTCACCTGGTAACTTAGTCAACTTCCTGATCCAGTGCTGAAGGACCAACAGCTCAAGCTTGTGCTTTTTGATAGGATATTTTTATATCCAGAAGCAGTGCATATCCCATAGTACAATGGACTATTGTTAAAACAATAAATATCCTAATTGAGTAAACCATAGGTATAGCATGTTGGTAATGATTTTGGTTACTTTATAGATCCAGGGAGCAGATACATGAGAGATTGTTCCAGAATTAGGAGCTTACAGTGGAAAAACACAATGTAAGCTGTCTCAGACTGCCTTATGTAAATAGATGTCCTTTTCTTTAGATCCCTGTTTCTGTCTGAGTTTTCTAGTGGGAATTCAATAAGGATATAAGCGGGGCTGCAAACATCACTTTAAATTCACAGTAAAGTCTCATCGTTTCAAACGATGAGCTTTATCATAATTCAGAAGGAATCTAAATGTCAGTTACATGACAGTGCTTTATTTGTGTCTTCCAGTTCTTTTTTTGCTCCTTCATCAGAACAAAAAACATGAGAAACGTGCCAAAAAATCTGGAGAAAAAAAAAAAGTAATAAATATGCTAAGGTTGCCTTTCACAGAGGAAAAAACAGTGAAAAATGGTCTGTAGGATCAATATCACCATGAAGATCTGACCCAAATTTTGAACATCCATTCTTTCCCTTCTGTATAAGTATAGCTTCTTCAATGTGATAGCTTGGAAATAAGTAATTTGCTTTTGCTCTTTATTTGAGACCTAAAACTTGTATTTGCATTTCAAATATACACTAAAGTTTGATAGTGGTGAGGTGAAGAATGAGTTGAAGTCATTTCTAACAGAAACACAGGTGGTGGCGCGCTTCAGTTTATGTTGTATATAGGCCTCAGCTATTCTATTTGATGTAGCTTGTAACACCTCTTTCCCACATTCTGCTATTCACGTTTGCTTTCTTTTACCAATGTTTTCTCACGACCTTGAGTTTAAGGAATTTCATCAATACATCTCTCTGATTATCCAAAATGTTAGAGGTACTGTCAGATGTCCTCTTGCTCACTTGGATCTTCATTCTGTTAGAGTTCGTCATGTATTAAAGTCAGAGTCACCAGCAAAGTTGAAGGGTATTTATTCTTTTTGGTTTGTTTTACTAAATCTTTGTGAAAATAAGAAAAGCTGGCTTGATTCCCTCTATACATAGAAATAACTCTTGTTCACTGAATGACCCTTACCCTATAGATCCAGTCATCCATGCCATGGGAAAAAAAAATTGTTGTGTCTATTCATTTTCACTGGATGTCATCCAGAAAGCAGAAATATTACTGCTTATGTTCTTCTCGTGTTGATGAACTGCAATAAAGGACTCTTCATATGCCAAAGTTAATCTGCTAACGTAAGACTGACTGCTCTTTGCAGTGCTATGCCAAACGTACATCTTCAGCACTTTTTCCTGTTTTTTGACCTTAACTCTTTACTCCTGGCAAATCATCCTACTATTAAACTGTACCCAAGTAAAAAAGTTTTAAATTCCCTGAAACTTTTTCCCTTCTCTGAAACGTAAAATCGTTTGATATCTTGGCCTATGAGGACACACACACGCATTCACATACAAATGGCAATGCCAGCATTGTCATTTACAGAAGAATTCTTCAAGCAGCAGCGTCAGCCTCTAAGCCTATAAAATAGTCCTTCCCAGCAAGGTAAATGAAAATCAGAACTATATTACTTGAACAGTTAGGTTCAGGTCCTGCAAGTCGTAGCTAAGGTGAGCAAGAACTCCGCCTGAAAATAAGGAGTTGCAGACTCAGCTCCATTTTCAGAAAGCTGTCCCAGAGAACATGTCAATCCATTTGTTAGCTGTGCTTGCTGGCAGTTATATGCAAATCCATTTGTATACTGATTGCTTTTTCTACATGATGTTATTACATAGCACACATGGCATAAAAAATTTAAAATCTATCTAGTAGAGCATGTGTGAATGTATACGGACGGCAGAGTTCTGTCCCATGCTGTTAATGCATGTGTGCCCCAACCCCTTGCTTTCGTTTGTTCATAAGTGCCAGCAGCTTATTCCACAGCTGATGAAGAGGTCTGTGCCAGTGCAAAAGAAAAAACAACAGTTACACTTTTTTCCTCTTATTTTGAAGCAGTGAAGCCCCTCCAAAGGGCCAGTCTAAGTTCACCTTGAGGGCATTAGCAGAGGCTACTTTAAAATAAAAATCTTTTAGTATTAGTCAATTGAAAGATAAAGCCTTTTCTGTTCTGTGTAAATAATTTTTGAGGAATGTACTCTTCTAAGGCAATTCCCGATTAGCATATGCTATAGCTTATTGTCAGACCCTGTCCACAGGGTACAATTGTGACACAGACTGTGAATATTCAGCAATAGGAGTCTGTAAATCTGAGTAGGTAATGACAAAGCCTCTTTAGGGAAAGCCAGAATGAGGTGAGCTGAGTAGAATAATGGCAGTCTTGGGGGGCAGGGGAGTATTTTAATTTAATCAAAGCCAGAGCAACTGAAAAAGATACTATTAAAAGGACTTGCTCTCTGAAGTAAATACTTTTCAGATAAATGCACAGTTCAAACTGACATGCTAAATTGGCATCCTTACATCCACTCTATTCTCTGGATCAAAGCAAAGTTAATCATTTCACTTGCCTTTTATCTGTTTTATGGATGTGTGTGTGGGTATGTGTGCATATGTATGTGTACGGTGTGCGCATGTGCACACACGAGTAACAGAAAATAATGGCAATGAGGGACGGGTTTTTGCTTTTTCTGTAATGAAGTTGAAGATTTTTTTTTAATGTAGTGGTACCTAATAGTCATTGCCCACTGTTGTAAAAGCTCAGAAGTATTGCAGCTTTCTCTTGCCTGTGTTTGCCCAGCCACCCTTCTACATACTACAAGCACTGGGAAATTTCAATGACACAGCTTGGAATGGGTTCAGTGACCTCAATTATGCCCTCCCACCCACTCCAAACTCCTTTCAATTTGCAAAAAGCTTTAAGTGGACAAAACCCAGATGCCTTTTGCTTGTAGTTCAGTAAGAACAGATTGGGCATGTAGATTCTTGTCAAAGTGATATATGTAGTTCATTTTCCATTAACTCTTTCTTAACTAAGGATTTTAAATTCTCAGTTCCAAGTCTAGCACTCTGCTTTGCTTTCTACTGCTTTTTAAAGTTCATTATGCCTACAACATCATTTAAAAAAATGAACGTTAAAAAGCCTCGGCTAGACATTGACTGATACGAAACAGACTGAATGTTTGGTTCTGCTTTTAAAGGCAATCACTTTTTTTCTTTTTAAACTTGTTTCATGTGTAATAACCCATCCTATTGTCTAAGACAGTTCAAAAGCACTAACTAAACATAATAAATAAAAACACCAGTTTGGGGGGAGAAAGAAATCATGACTGTGGAAATGATTTACTAGTCAAAACCAGTACATGGGCCCTGATGACCTTGAGAGCTTGCTTCAGTTGGCTTGCTTAAACTTAGACTGCTTTCATAATGTTGTAATATTGCCCCAAAGAGTCGGTGCCTCTCCCCTCCCCCAGAACATTTCATTACACTCCCTTTCTCCCTCTCTCTCTCTCTCTTTTTCTTTCATTCTGCAGAAACATGTGCTGTCAATAATGGAGGCTGTGATCGGACTTGCAAGGATACCGCGACAGGGGTACGATGCAGTTGCCCAGTTGGATTTACCCTGCAGCCTGATGGGAAAACGTGCAAAGGTCAGCTTCTGTTTGCTTTGCAATGCATCATTTGCCTTCAGCGGTTCCAGTACAAGATGTAAATATTCAGTTATTTAATCAATACTTTTAAGTTAAGGCAATACTGGCATAGTGATTGCAATTGAGTTCATTAGCTTTCTCCTTCCCTAATTTTTCTATATTTACCTATTTCAATCATTTTTCTCTCTATTTATTAAAGGGTTTTATTACTGCAGAGAAACGAGATACAGAGGTCAAACTGTTTCAAACTGACCAGAGATTTAGAGGAACAACTCCGGGCTGCAAAAAGCCTTCAGTTTCAAAGGATAGTCTGATACCCTTGTAAAACTTCAGTCATCTAATGGTGTCTGAATTGGTCTATTCAAAAAGCGAGTTAAACTTCTCAACCAGTACTTTGTTACCTGCAGATGATCAACTGGTTATTACTAAGCGAAGACAAGCAAAAGGTGCAGAGGTATTGCTGAAAAAACCCAGACAATTGTCCATTTCTACCCCTTCAAAACATAAGTAGCCAGCTACAAAGGAAAACCAAAACAGCATTTACTACTGCACAGGTCTAAACCGTACAGCTGATGCTCAGATTTTACTGTTCCAAAGGCAGCACAAGAACCTTGGCATTTTGTCCTTCATGAGTGTGTTAAAACTGAGGTCAGGGGAAGAGAGAACAGAAAAGAGCATCTGATATCACTGTCAACATCTGTTCTCAGTTAAGGAGACAGGGACAGTTCTCAAATATCCCTGCAGAATCACACTTAATGGCACTATGCACTTGAGTAGATTTAGATACATGTTAGTAGGACCAGGCCCTCCATCAACCATTTTCCCATCTTCCTATGTATTTCTTTTGAGCTCCATTGCAAGAGACTTGGTGATGGACATCCAGGAGGACATCGCATATACTGTTGTCACAGAGAATACTTTTTTATCATTCAGTGACTTAGCATGTTGACCTAACTTGCTAAGAAACTATCGGGACTTTTTTCCTTCAAAGTAACCAGAAATGTCAGAATTTCTTCAGTCCAGGGCTTGATGTTACTTAAAATAGTAAAACCCACAAAAATAAACAGAAAATGTGTGGTTTCCTCTTGCTCCAGGCTGAAAAATCCCAGTGCTTGGGCATGATCCTGTTAGTATTTATAGAAATAACAGTCCATTTGCCTGTTTATTTGAAAATAAAACATTTAAGCTGCCATTGCACACAATGTTAATAGTTAAGGGTGAGCACACATCAAAAATCAGTCGTTTTAGTTCAAGCCACATAAAAACAATCTTCATTTTTACAGGCAGACTAGCTAAGCCATAGCAGACCAGTAATAGCGATTCCACCGAGTGCTTAAAAAGAAGGCATTTTAATACTGTAACATACACCTAGACTTGATCATAATGTTTATTACTGAAACTGCATCATGAAAAAAAAGATTAATTCTAAATTTAGGAGTTTGGCCATAGAACTAATATGAAACAGTATTTCTATAATAATCAAGTCTATAATTAGTGCTACAGACAAAATGAAATATTCAACTGATCCTCAAACCAATTACCCTAGCTCTAAGCTCTTTCACATTTTTTTCTTTTCCCCCTTTTTATGAGAAGAAAATATGAGAAACAGAATCTGTATTTTTTTGATGCTGCAGATTCTTTCTTAAAATAAGCAGCAACTGGAAATTAACTCCCATGGTTTAACAAACCAACCAGGCCATTTCTTTTTAACCTTTATTGACATTTCAGGAAATAATCTTCATGATAAAATGGTAAAATATATGTTTTGCATTTAATTTAACTGTAATTAAAAATATTTATCTAATATATTGCACTGTGAGATTTCTGGGCTAGATTCTGTTTCCCTGAAGCTAAAGTAACTTCCCATTTAAATCTGTGCACAAAGGATCCTGCACTTAAACTGACCAGTGAAGCTTCTTCCGTAGCTTTTGCAGGCAGCCCTTAGTCAAGACTGCTCTCTAAGATTTACATCTTCTGAGCGCAAAAGTGAGCATTTTGGTGGAGTGACATTGATGCCTTCCTGGCTCCTCTTGCTTATAGGTAAAGCCTAGAAAAGGCTGGGGTGGGGAAATTCAGTGTGCACATTTTCCTTTCTCTGAGTTCTATAGGAAACAAAAGAAAAGAGTGATCAGCTCAAGTTTTTGCCTTTGATTTTTTTTCTCTTTACTCTCCTTGATTTGACTGGCCCACAATTTTTCATATATACAGTTCATTGTTCCCTCTAGCTGTAACATTACGTCTGTGTGGTAAGAGCAATGGATTATCTATTGGATGCCCTTTAAAGCATCTTCAGGGATCATGCAGCTGTCACATCCTGTCTTTCTTGGGCAGAGTTTTCAAGTCCATCAAATGTCACAGCATATCCAAGTGAGGTTTTTCACAGAAGCATCATTTTAAGAGAGGTTATATTTCTAAATATGGGAGAAAGGTATGTCATTATCTATTAAAGGCAAGTAGAGAGACAGGGCATGTAAGAAAAGCTGAGAGAAGTTGGAGGGATAATTAATATACTAACCGAAAAATGCAGTTGTGGGTTGAACAAAATGATTAATATGTTTAGTTTGAATTTAGCAAATAATGTTGACCAAAAAGAATGTTTTTATTGGAAAGTCTACGATTTTTCAGTCCATTTTGGCATCTTCCTCTCTAAGACATTTTACATAGTGCAGCTACTATTTGAAATTATGTAGTTGCTTAGATTCAAGAGGCTTAAATAAGACTCAAAGAAACATCTGAACTTTAGAGTAATCTGACATGGACATTGTGTAATTTATTAATCTGTAATTCTAGCTCACTTGTAGGTGATTTCCGCAATAGTGCGCTTTTACCATACTGGTATTTTATGGAAATCTATTGCCACTTTTCTTCCTTTTTTTTTACAAGGGAATCAGGTAAATTAAAGAACATTTTTATTTTTAAATTAATGAAATAAATAAAAATACTATTTTTCTAAATAACAACAATTCCCAGATGGTTCTGTTCAAAATCAGGACTAGTCTGTGTTAGGCATTGTATGCACGTATAATGGGAAAAAGAGTTTATTGTCCAAAATGTTCACAGGTTTTTGTTTAGTAGTTTGGAATTTCATTAACTGTTTAGCATAGAAAAAAGGCAAGTATACATACAAAAGGAAAGGCAATTTTTTAAGAAAGAGTATACGTAAACATGCTTTATTTGCCAAAAGATGGCAAATAAACCCTATTAAATGTAACTAATTGTCCTAGACTTTGTTTGCAATATCATATTTCATATTCTATAGTTCTATCATAAAAGCTGGGATGGATTCAAATCACGGAGTACAGAACTGAGTCAGGACTGAAACTCTGGTATTTCTCCTGGCCCTTTCCCAATGTATCAGAGAATGGATGGTGCAGGAAAGCAATTTCCAAGTAATACAGGGGACCTACCTTCAGCAGTTTTGCGTGTCAACCTCTTTCATAGGCTCAGTGGGAAATGAGAGTTCATTGTACCTCAAAGAATCAAGCTCCTTTTGTTAATGCAGAGTGCAGTCTGGTTTATATCAAGTGTCAATAAAATAGGAAAAAAAAATTGTTGTGGAGAAAGTTTTAACATGGAATATGTACAGGTAGCTGCATAGCCCGTAGGAAGACTACCGTAGCAGAAGATTGTTTTGGCTTCTGGAAGCTGGAAAAATCTTTTTTATCTCAGATTCTTTCTCCCTTACATATATTACTTACCTGATCTCGTAGTGAAATAAGAGCGAAAGTGCTGTCTGTGGTCTAGTTAGAGGGACCTTTAGGTGTATTAATGGTGGCTGGGATAAAAATTCATTAACCTTTTGCTGTTCTTTAAAAGTCAGTCTCAAACTCAAGTCTTCCCTCAGCTGGGTTGGCACACAATGGAGAATGTTCCTTTTTTCCCTTCAGCTTTCCTATCAGCTTGGCTCTTAATAAGCCAAACCATGGAGGCTTTTGTCAGCTAAGAGAAGAGACACATCCCAGGCAGAAAGAGTTCCATATTCTCCCTCTAATTAATGCTATTTAATTTCTCCTACCACTGTAACTGGGTGATCCCAGCTTGATGCTGATTTCATTTGCTGCTGTCGATTATTGTGCTACGCATGACGAAACAGTGGCGTTCGTTTCCTTAAATGCCTACCAAGTCACCCCACAGAAGTCAGCTAACGCAGACAGAAAGGGAGCCAGAGGATTAAAAGACATAGTGGCCCAGGATGCTCATTGCTCATTGCCTCCTACCCACTTTTTAATATCCCCTATATTGTGCATATCAGGGGTTCTGTGGTCCCTAGCTCCCTTGCTTGTTGGTTTCTGTGCATCCTTCCTGCTGAGTACCCTTTTCATGCATCCATCTGTAATCTGCCCTCAGTGAGAAGATTCATCAGTTTAGCATTTTAATTATATTAAATACAACTTATGTAGCTGATAAAGCAGGAGACTCGTTTGCAAAAAACTTGGGAGGTTCAAGAGGAGTGAAGTCATTCTAGATTAGACTTAGCGCAGATTTCTGAAGATTGTTTAAATCCAGCTGCCGAACTGGATCAAACAATAAAGGGCTCGTCTGCCCGAGCACAGCTCCAGAAGGATGGGAGACAAGCTGGGCAAGGGAGCATTCTTCTTCCAGGACTTACAGTAGAGGAGGGCTGGGAATGACTGCGAAAGACATCTGAGAGAGACGGGGGCTTGCTTTGTGGGTTCCTTAAGAAGTGAATTAGAGCAAGAGGAAGGGCCACAGGCTTCTGGCATGGTGTAAAATGTAGGACCGTGTGTCTGATATGCTCCGTCTCTGCCTCAGGGATTTAACAAAGAAACTGTGTCCCCGAGGCACTCTTGTGCCCCAGAATAATGCAGCTTCCTAGCACTGTACACATAGACATAGAGGAACTGTGCAGGGTGCAGCAGTTGCTGAACTCCTAGAGTCAAATGGCAGAGCAAATATAATTTTTAAGCAGGAGAAGAGAAGCATAACTGGATTTCTAAGGGTTATGGTCCAAAAGCCACATCTTAAATATGGCTTTTCCA